CAGCCGCTTAATTTATGCCAGTTATCTGCAAAGTGAGCTGCAAGCTCCCGTGTCAGCAAATCCTTCCCTAAAAACATTAATATTAAAAAAAGGAATTAAAATAAAGGAAAGTGACCATTCCTAGACACAGTATTTATATCAGACTTCCTAAGCTCTTCATCCTAAAATTGTTTTCACGTGTGTAATTGAAAGACATCAGAAAAGTATTATTCATCTCTTCCCAGCTGACGAAAGGTCAAGTGTCAGAGCTGGCAGGCACGCTTCTATTATAAAATAGAGAACATTGTACCTGAGTGGTAGAATAATATAGTGACAAAAAAAAAAAAAAAAAAAAAATCTGTCTGCAGTCAAACAGAGCTGGTTTGGAATCCTAGTTTGGCCACTTATTGTTTGCATAATATAAAATAGGCCTAAGAAAAATATCTGTTCCATAGGATTGTTGAGAATGTGAATAGGAAACAATGTGGAATGTAAACACTCCCCATGTGTCAGTCCCTAATTTTTTTTAAAATATATTTTATTGATTTTATACAGAGAGGAAGGGAGAGAGAGAGAGAGTTAGAAACATCGATGAGAGAGAGTCATCGATCAGCTGCCTCTTGCACACCCCATACTGGGGTTATGCCCGCAACCAAGGTACATGGCCTTGACCGGAATCGAACCCGGGTCCCTTCAGTCCCCAAGCCGACGCTCTATCCATTGAGCCAAACCGGTTTCAGCATCAGTCCCTAGTTTTTATTCCAATGACTTGACAATCATTTTTCTGTTTCAGGAGTACATAAACTACCCCCACTAAAAACTTCCTCGTTTCTCCTTTAAAGTCTTCAGAGGAGTTTCTGCTCTCAGAGGCAGGAGTGTGTGTGCTTGAGAGCACTGGCTCTGGGATTCGGAGCCCAGCTGGCCCACTGCCTCGCTGTGTGACTCCGGCGCCCACTAGAGGTTCTTTATCTGTGAAATGGGGATGATAATGTCATCCACCTCAGAAGGTTGCTATGAGGATTAAACCAGCCAATATACGAAAAATGCACAGAACAGTGCCTGAATCTAGCAATGTACAGTAAATGTCAGTTGTTACACTTCTCCCCGTAGGTAATATAGTTCAAATTCTTAGCACATGGAGAATAAGAAAATTATTTTAGAACTCTAGAATGTTAGGTCTGGAAGAACTCTTAGGAATCATTTCTAATTCAACTCTCTTATTTAATAAGTGGTCTGCAGAGAAGACCACAGCTGGCTATATGGTCTGACCAGGATTAAAACCAGGCCTTGCGTGGCTGGAGTGGTTCAATGGTTGAGCATTAACCCAAGAACCAAGAGGATATCAGTTCAATTTCTGGTCAGGGCACATGCCTGGGTTATGGGCTCAATCCCCAGTAGCGGGTATGCAGGGGGCTGCCAGTCGATGTTTCTCTCTCATTGATGTTTCTCTCTCTCCCTCTACCTTAAAAAATCAATAAAAGCATATTTAAAACAACAACAACAACACACACACACAGAAAATCCCAAGTCTCCTGATTCCTATTCAGTACTCATACCATACCAATGTATTTCCTGAAAACAGTAGAGTCATGCAGTTTCTCCTGTCTGCAAACCACCAGGCTACCCTCTGGAAAGAGCCAGAGCTACTTATACAACGTCCTGTAATTGCTTGCTTACTTGTCTTGATTAGTCTTCAGGCTACTTCCCATTCCAAAGGCTCTTCTTACAAGGTGAACTCAACATTCCCCCTTGCAGCAAGAGTGAGGGAGGTTGCCGAAACCTGTTTGGCTCAGTGGTAGAGCATCGGTCTGTGGACTGAAAGGTCCCAGGTTCGATTCCGGTCAAGGGCATGTACATTGGTTGCGGGCACATCCCCGGTAGGAGGTGTGCAAGAGGCAGCTGGTCGATGTTTCTCTCTCACGACGTTTCTAGCTCTCTATCCCTCTCTCTTCCTCTATGTAAAAAATCAATAAAAATATATTTTTAAAAAAAAAGAGTGAGGGAGGTTAATGTCCCTCCCCCGTGAACAGGCCCAGACAGAGTACAGCGGAAGCTATGTTATGTGACCTGTCGAGCTAGATGACAACAATGCTATGCATTTCCACTTTGTTCTTTTGAGGCGCTCACTCTTCAACTCCAGCTGTCTTCCTGTGAGGAGGCCCACACTAGCCCATGAAGAAACCAGCTCAGCAGAGGCCCCCGACATCACAGAACAGAGAAACACACCTTCCCCACTGTGCCTTCTTTGAATTCCTAACCCACAGAATTGACCATAATCAAATGGTCTCTTCACACCACTAAATGTTTGAGTGGTTTGTTATTCAGCAATGACAACTAGAATAACCACAAGAGTTCCGTGTCTAACCAGGAATAAAAATACTGAATACATGACTCCAAGGGATTGCCTAACAACAAACACAGTAACTAGAACAGAGTAAATTACCTGCTGATTCTTAGGCAGTTATTATTATGCCCACTTTTGCGGATGAGAAACTAAGCTTTGAGAAAATGAGCAACTTGCCCTGGGCCTCTTAGCTCGTTAGTGGCAGAATAAATTGAAACTCAGATCAAAACCCACACCCCTAACACTACCCTTCTGTCTACCTTGATACTTACAATTTCACACCACATATACAGTAATGTGTTTTAAAATGGGGTTGTCAGCATTCAAAACATTCTGGCCCAGTAGAATTCCCCATGCAGTTTCATCGCGGAGATGGAAACCCACGTATAACCTTAGAGAAGCATTCCCTGACCTTCCTCGTTCAGGTAATATCCGTTCCCTCATCCTTTCCGGCCTCTCCATCCCTATTTCATTTTATTTCCAGTACTTATTCCTAGTTGAAACTCTTATTAACAGCAGTGTCCAAGACAGTGCCGGAATATGATGGGTGATCAAAAATTATTTACTGAATTAAGGAGGGGCTGTATTATTCAGGCACACTGAATGTCCACCCAATCTCATCACACACCGATAAATGAACAAATAGGGAGGATAAGAGAAAAATCAAATTTCAAACAGCAGAACTGCTGCAGAGTCTTTCCATAGAGTAAGATCAGTACAAAAAAAAAAAAAAAAAAATGGAAGGGGAGGGGAGGGGAATCAATGCTAACACTCACCCACTTAGAAAAGCATAAACCCGAGTTCGAATGAAGATGTAAGAAATGGGATGGAGTAGGGAGATCACGTCTTCTATTCCCTATTCATAACCACTGTCTCCTCGGCCCTCAGAAACAATTCCGTTTCTTCAGACACACCAACTGAACCACAGGAGGGACACCTGTTGGTGGCCCCTCTTGACTTCAGACCTTCTACCCTCTTTTAACCTTTCCTCTTGCACCAGTCACCACTTTCTGGAATGGAGATATGGTCCCCCCACCCCCCCAGGGCAAGGAGCCAGTAACCTTATTCCTGAGGAAGAGGTAGGTTGGGGCATCTTCAGACCAAGGGCAAGGCTCTCTCTGCATATGCATGTCCCCCCAAAAAAGGCCCAGTTTCGCCTAGCAGTAAACTTGACCGTTCTGAGGACCTCCCAAGTGCTAAGCACTGTGCTGATGAGCTCTTAAACATGCCTCTTCTCCTCTAAGGGCCATTCCTTACTCTTAGCAAGCACAACGTCCCATCCCATCATTCCCTCGACCCGCTACTCCCTGCTCCAATAAATCTTCAGACTCCAAGAGCGGTTGGCTGGCCAGGATAAAAAAAGAACCTGGCATGACTTAAGAGAGAGAATGGGAGGGGGGAGTGTTAAGAGGAGTAGAGGGTTGTGCCGGCCTGGGACCCAGGATAAGTAAAGATTAAGATAAGAATGCGGTCTGACCCTTTCCAAGCCCAGTAAGTCCATCGGAAGAGGTGACCAGGAGCAGGAGGAGACTGAAGCCCAGCAAACAGGTGGCCCCGGGACGAGGCCGCAGCTCCATGGTGGTCAGTGCGCGGGGTCCCCGGGCGGAGCAGGCGCAGAGCCGGGAGTCCTAGAGATGGAGGTCCGCGCCCTACCCCAAAGGCGGCTCAACCCAACCCTTGGAGTTCCTAGATTTTTTTTTTTCCCCCCCTTAACTCTGAAGGAAGTGATGTTAAACGGATGTGGGTGGTGCCTCCGGGGTCCGGATGGTGATCAAGTGGGTTTAAAGGTGCAGATCACGTAGAAGGGTATAGGTGATGTTGCTCTCAAACGCTAGTTGCTTTCCCCCCATCCCCAGCCCCGATTTGGGGTGTTCAGTCGGAGGACATAGAGAGAGAAAAAAAAAAAAATGGGCTGAGATTAGTGAGGGGTGGGGGAGGAGGAGGCTTCGGAGAGCCGTTGCTGGTCGCGTCTGCCAGCAGGTTAGCCCCGCCCCCTAGAACCGCTGCACTTAATATTAACAAAGCAAATTATTGATTGAAATCTGCTGCTCCAAACAGGGGGCCGGTCCCACTTCCCCCCTCCGCAAACCTAAAAGACTGGACAACTGGGTTTCATTCTTAGGCTCCTGCTTGGTCTCCCCAGGAGACCTAGGAAGCCTGTTCTGCGGTGCATGGTCTCCGTGCCTTGCAGGAACGCCTCCTCTTGCTGGAGAAGAAGCGTTGGACCTTATTTTCCTTGCAACCGCAGTTCTTCCACTCAGGGAATTATGCAACTAACTGATGCATGCTCTGGAAAATACCCGAACTTGGTATCTGTTATTGCAAAACTGACCTAGCTAGGACAGAAGTCACTGGCAGGCATTTTAAACTGTGAAGCTTCTTCTGGTTAAATCTATTTGCTTTTGTTGTTTTTATTTGCTTTGTTTATTTCTATTATTTTTATTTTGTTGTCTTTAAACTTTGTGGGTTGAGTATTTCCTCCAAATTTTTTTTTTCCTCTGTGTCATCACAGGTCAACACTTCCTTGTCTCGCCTCCTAAGTGGATACTTAATTGAGTGCAACAGTGTATATATACTTAATAGCAAGTAAAAGACATCTGATAAAGTACACACCCAAACAAAAAATACACACTGCGCTTTTATTAGGCTCCTTACCTATAGTGAGGGCACCGACACAATGGAAAGCTTGGGAGACTGCAAGCCCCAGAATGCAGCGCCGCCACCCGCACCTGTCACCTCGCTATTGGGAGGCGCAGTGCAGGCTGGGCCTTGTAGTTCGGACACGCTCTCCGCGGATAGGTTGCTCCGCGGAGGGCTGGCTCTATCACGTGGGCACCCCCGCTCCTGCTGCCGCTGCCGCCGCCGCCGCCGCCGCCGCCGCTGCCGCCTCCGTCGTCTTTCTCTGTCTGGGCTCAGGCAGCCATCTTGCTCTTGCCGCGTGCTGGTGGTGGAGGACTCTCCCTGCTTCAGGTGAGACCCCCGGCGGTCCCGCCACTCCACGGCCGTAGGCCGCTGCGCACGGTCTCCCCCCGCCCTCTTCCTCCGACACCCGCCAGCCTCTCGGGCTGCCACTTCCGCCGCGGCGCGCCAAGTGGGGGCGGAGGCGGCCAGTCCGCCTGGCCTGTCGGTTACCGGCGGCGCAGCCGGGGGTCGGCACCTGAGGGACGGTCCCCCAGCACCACCGCCCTTTGCGAGGGGGCGAGCGGGCCCACGCTGCTGCCATCCACCAGATCCAGCCCCAGGAGGCGGGTGATCCCCCGGCCTCTGCCCTGTTCCTCTTCCATCATGCAAACAGTGTCGTGAGCTTTGAGCTCTCCACAGCCAGTCCGTTGCCATCTCATTTGGTTCTTCCCGACAGAGAGGGAAACTGAGGTTTGCGGCCCCCTGCAGCCTGCACCGGATTGCGTTGCAGCGCCCTTGGCCTCCTAAGGGGCAGCAACTGTGGACCAGGCGGCCTCCCACTGCCTGGCGGGTCTGGAGAGCCCCATCGCACTCCGGGAGGCTCAGGAGGCTGTCAGGAAATGGATGATCGACCGACTGACACACAGTGTCCCAACATCGCCAGTGAATGGTGGTTTCAACTTCCTTTTCTTCCCACGTTCTTTCACCTTACCCTAGCCGTCCCCTCGGGGTTGGTAACAATAGTTACCAGTGTTTGCGGACCTGCTGTGAGTCATATACCCTTGTGCTATCCATAACCTTTACCCATGAAAACACGCTTTGAAGGGAGTGGTGTTAGCACCTTTTTCTAGTACAGAAGAGTCAAAGGTTCAGAGAAGGGAAATACTTTTCCGAAACGCTAAGGGGTAGAATTTGATTCTTCTGGTTGCAAAGCTTATTGCTTCTCTTAGAAGAAACCCAACACGATTTAAAAAAAAAGGGTCAGGACTAAAGGCTGAAATGATTACATTCCTGTAAACGTGATGGATGGGAAAATACCTACTCTAATGTTTGGAACTTAGGCACTCAATAAATATGGAGTATAACCTCAACGTGGACACCCTTTCTTGAGTCCTGAAGGAAAAGGCTAAAAGATTCTAGGATCCCCCAAGGAAGAACTCAACGATCCTATGCCCTGTAGGACGTTACTGCTCCCTTTTGGGCCTAGAAAGTGCCTCCTCCCTTCTGGGCCTTCATTTGCAAATCTATTGAGTTGGGAGGGAGGTGAACTGTTCATAATTTTTACCCAGCTGCTGTTTGCAAGTATTTGAGACAGCTTTACTTACAAGACCATAAATCACAGGTTGATTGAGGACTAGGGAAGTAAACTAGGTGATTTTTCAGGTTTATTTTCTCACCTTGACATTTCTCATAGACAGACCAATCCTCTTGAATTCCATACACCCCAACCTGCTACTAGACAAAGGACCACCCTTCTTCCCCTTATCCCCTTGAGCTTCCAACCTCCCTAACATGCCTTTTTTCTGAGATACTCCTTGAGAACAAATTCTCTGTTGTCCTGATTACCTGAAATGGAATCTGTTCTTTCATTGTACACATTGATATAGTTCATTTTGTTGCTTTTGTTTCAGATAAGTCAGGACTCTTTTTATCTTGATTTCTGCCTCTTCTCTTCCATCTCTTGGGGGGTTGTCACTTGAAAATGCAGAGGAGTCCCAAAAGGTTTATTTACCCTATGTCTAGTTCCAATAGCTTCACTTAGCCCCCCCCCCCTTTTTTTTTTTAAAGTCCTTAGCTCTTTGTTCACTACATCTTCATAGATAATTCCTTTGAGAAAAGAGAATATTGGTCCTTTTCTGTGGATATTGAGCATAGAGATTGGGATTTACATCTACAAATTTAAGGATGACACTGAAAACCTCTGATTTTGTATTCTAATCACACTTCCTCCTATAAGAGATTGTTTTTAGCTGCTTGAACATTGTGAACATTTATGATTTTAAGGAATCATAAATTCTAAACGTTATTTGATTAGGCTGCACAACTGGGAAAATGAAGACTGTAAATAAATACTGAATTAATGTAAAAAATGTTATTTGGAAACTGGACTTTATTTGGCCTTAAAGCAGATATATATATGTCTAAGTACAGTGTCAGAAAATGGAATGTTTAGGAATAATCTTTGATTCTCTTTCACTTCTCAAATGAAAAAAACAGACTTTTTCATCTGAATGATCATTATAAAGAGGTTAGAGAATTGGCCAAAAAAAGGCTTGTACTTTATGTCATCTCTCACATCTCAGCAATGATCTGTTGATCCACAGAACAAGTAAAACAAGGCTTTAACATTGGCTTTTATTTGTTTATGTAGTGTGGAATGTTACAGCTCATTATAAACTTAAGTACTTTTTTTCCTTAGTATGAATATCACTGACCAGACTAGGATTCATGACTTTATAATGTCCTTAGAATTTTCAAAATTAAGTTTAGCCTTAAAGAGCATAATATATTTAAAAGTATCTTCACCTTCTCCCCCACAAAATTTTAGTATTAATGTAGCAGAGATAAGTTTTTATGTCAAATTGTGAGGCATTATGCCCTGTATGCAAGCATATCTTGACAAGTATGACATATTATATCACTGCAAGGTATTGAATGAACTCTGTGGAAAGTGCTGCAGAAGCACTGAACCTCTAAAAACTGGTTCTCATTGCCTATTATTAACATTCCATCTGACCTTGAATAGAGGACATGACTACCTCATATCTTGACAGCTACACAGCCTATTGTTGAATTTTTTCTTTGTCCAGCTTTTTTTTTTTTTTTTTTTTTTTTTTTTTTGCTTTTTGCTTTTTTTAAAAAAAAATTATGGCTTACAAGGAATACAGAATGTGATTTGGGAGAAAAAAAGTCTACTTAAAGGTTGTGCTAATAACATTTGGTAACAGCTCTCTGCTGTAAAAAACTGGCTTGCCTACAGAGATTTTTGTAATTGGTTAGGTTTTACTGAATCATGCATTTAAGGAGGGATCTTCAAATAGGTAACTTTGAATCCCATTCTTTGAATCCCATTTGTATATTCGGCTCCCTCATTATATTATTTAATTTTTGTTCCTTTAATATCTGGTTTATGAAGCTAGAAAAAGTTATTAATACTTATTAAGAATATAGGCAGTATTAATATGATCATGGTGATAATGAATGCTGCAAACTCAGTGGACCAGAAGGTACTGTTGCATAAACAGTTATTTTATTTTGGCAAAACAGTAACTTTAACAAATCTATTTTTCCCCCCCCTAGATTTACCAACAGCATGAATCAAGAAAAGTTAGCCAAACTTCAGGCTCAGGTCCGGATAGGGGGCAAGGTGAGTGTGGCATAAAAAAAAAATTGGCAGGAGAATGTATTATTATCAAATATTATTATTTGGATTTGTGGTTATTGAAAATCTAAAATCTTTTCAATAATCAAGATCAAACCACATTCCAATTTGAAAATAATTTGTCAAGATCTAAAGTAGTTAACCAGAAGACTTCTCTTTGGTGGTGCAATGGAAATAGCCACCTTCGTTTGAATCCTCTTAACAGCTGGTAGTTACGAACAGGCAAAAGCTACCCAAACTTGTTAAGCTTCCATTTTTAATCTGCAAAAGAGAAATAGTCCTACATAGGATGCTCAAAAAAAAAAATCAGAGTAATATTTATAAAACACCTAACCTGGTGTCTGGTACAGAGTAGATATTTAATAAATTGTAGCTATTATTATTTTAAAGATTTCTTATTGATTTTTAGGGAAGGAGAGAAAGATTGATTGACTGCCTCCTGTACACTCCCAGGTGGGGAGTGAGCCCACCACCTGGGCATGTGTCCTGTTTGGGAATCGAACCAGCAACCTTTTGGTATACAGGACAATGCCCAACCAACTGAGGCACACTGGCCAGGGTTGATAGCTATTATTATGTTAGATTCACCTTCAGGGCATCCCAAATGTGCTGAATACTCTCTCTGCTACAGTTTGGTTTACAAGTGATTTAGCTGAAGATATTCCAGCTGATTGTACATTTTGTTCAGTGCTAGATTTTCCTCCCAAATTCCTGCCTATGTGAACATGAGTATTCTTATTCCATGTACTCTGAAGTCTAAGGAAGAGCTAGTTCTGAGCACAGAACGTCTTTGATTACCTTCAGCTCTGTCCTCAGGCTCAAGGAGAACATTCTACCTTTATCTCTGCCCAGTACAATCTTTGCAAAAGGAAGAGCATGAATAGTGCTTACGTCAGACCGGGGAAGGATAGGTTGGATACTATGAAGCAGCTCAACTGTGTCATTTAGTTTGATGATAACCACAGCTCCTGGGAATGGGGACAGGAAAGGGTGAAGGGAAGAAGTGACTAGTAATTTCTCTTCATGGTGATACAATTATATGGCTTTGGAGTCATTAACATTCATGTAAACAAAGTAGGCACATTGTAACATCAAATATAATGTATCAATGCAAAAACTAGGAATATTCAAGAACCATAGACTATACCTAGAAAAGCTTGATACAGCACATCACTATAATATATATTTTAAATGAGGTGGTTGGCACAATTTTTTCATTTAACTAGTTTATTGAGCACCTACTGTGTACATAGCACAGAATATAAACCAGTTAAAGTTTCTTTCTCAACTTGAGAGACATGCTCACAATTACATTACAGAGTAATAAATGTTAAGTGAAGTACAGGGCATTCTTGTCCCTGAGAGAAGGAAGTAATCACTGAGCTGAGATGTGAAGAATAAATAAAATTTATCACTAGGTAAACAGGTGACAGGGTAAGTGAGTAGATTAAAAAGAGATTGTCATTTTCACACATGTAGAGGCACAAAGAATGCTGAGGTAATATGATGTTTCAATGTGTTTTGCTTTAGTTTGGTACAGCTAGAGTTTAGAGTTTATAATTTGAGGTTGGATTGTAGTCTTATATGCTGTACTAGGAACCGAGGATTTTATCCTAGAGGCAAGGGGCAACTATTGAAGGACCTTAAGAAGGAAATAACAGTCCTTTTAGAAAGATAACTGCTGGTGATGTGGAAATTTGAATGAAATAGAAGTTTGTATGGAGGAGAACAGTCAAGATGCCGCTGCTGTGATAGGGGAGACACAAACGTAAGGGTTGAAGTCGACTTGACTGATAGAAAATGGGGGATGAAGAGGAGAGAGAAGGGTCTGGGGTAAGCTCCAGGTTTCTGGCTTTAGAGACCGCACATCTGGTGGTACAACCAGCTACAAAACTTAGGAAATATAAAAATTGTTTGATGGACTAACAAGCTTTTAGATATATTGAATTTGAGGTGTCTGAGGATCATTTGAGTTGAGGTATCCAGCAAGCAATCAAGCTATCCCTAAGTCAGAAATGTTTCACAAATAAATGACCATCTGTGTAGTTATTCCTGGTCCTTCCTCCAGCAGCTGGATTTTATCACAATCTCTGCTGCTACTCTGAGCTCTCTTCCACTCCCACTGGAGCTGCTGAAACTGCAGCCCCTGACTGTGCCCTCTAGGAGCTACTCAGATGGACACCTCCATTCCTTTCCCCTGACTCCTGCCAGGGCTCAGAAAGGGGTAGCCCTCAAGACGTGGGCTGCTTTTTTAGTATTTTGGCTCTGCCTTCAGTTTCATTTTTATAAATTGGCCCAGGAATTTTATCTATTATTATCTATTGTTTTTCAGTGGAAAAAAATATATTTAGAATTTCTTAAGTAGTACCTGTTTAGAAATAAGCTTTCCCTTTCTTAGTAAATAGTATAATTTTCAGCCTATTTGCTTAGGCCAAACTTCTAAGCATCATTCTAGATTCCTTTTCTCCTCATATCTGACATCCAATTCATCAGCAAGTCCTGTTGGTTCTTCTGACGGTTTGAGTTCTCCCCATCTCCACTGCCACATTCCTCAGCTCTTATCAGGACTGCTATAGCAGCTTCCTGATTATCTCATTATCGTTCATTTTCTACAGCAACCTCAGTCATCTTTTAAAATTGTCAATCAGATCAAGTCATTTTTGTTTTTTAAAACCTTTCAATGACTTTCTATTGCAATTGGAATAAAATCTAAGTCTTCCTATAGCATTCTAGGCTACTTGGCCTAGTCCTTACCTATCCTTCTGATTTCATTTTCTTCCTCCTTTCCTATTATTCATTCTGCTCTCGCCATACTCACCTTCTTTCTCTCTTTAGACACAACAGATTCACTCTTGTTTCTTTCTGCTTGGGTCAATCTTCCCCTGATCTTCCCATGGGTCTAAGCTCAGATGTCACCTTTTCCTTAGTATTCTAACAAAATAGTGCTTAGCTCCCACACAATACTCTTATCACAGTGTTTTCTTAATACACTTATTCCCTTTGAAATGATCTAACTTGTTTACTTGAATAAATAAATATTTACTACCCTTCCACTACCATATGTAATCGACGTAAGAACCTGATGTTTTTCACTCCTAGATGCTAGGAATCTAGAACACTCACATAGTAGGCATTTGATTCTTAATTATGTCATAATCTCCTTAGACTTTATTGTCAGGGTGTGATAGGTACTGTAAAAAAGTAATCCTGATAATGTTTGAAAGGTGTTCTAAAGCACACTAAATTGTCTTGAAGTTACAAATGTATTTTTATTAAAAAACTTTTGAAACAGTGTGTTGAAATGATAAAGGCTGAATATTGAAAGAACTGGCTAGAACTGACCTTCAAAAATCTGGATTAGGCTGACAAACACAATTCTGAGCATTATTAATCATTACTATTGAGTCAGTAATTTCTTATGTGGGTTTTAGAGTACAGTGGATAGGAGGGCATGATTGCGGTAACCCTTCTGTTTGGTTATTTTTCAGGGTACAGCTCGCAGAAAGAAGAAGGTGGTACATCGAACAGCTACAGCTGATGACAAAAAACTTCAGAGTTCTCTAAAAAAACTGGCTGTCAATAATATAGCTGGTATTGAAGAGGTATGATCACTTTGTAAATTGTTAAATTATGTGAACAAATAGCACATTCACAAATAATTATCCACTTTTCAAATATCAAATATCACCATAGGAGAATCTGATATTGTCACTCAAGATATTTTTGATGGACTGTAGCTGTTGAATTTACTGATTGTGTAGAATTGGATGCTTGTCCAAAAAATGATTTTAGTAGACAGTTAATAAATTCATACTTTTCAGACTGAAAGTATTTGCATATATGACAAAATTATGGAACTACTTTTAAATTTTAAAGTAAAATAAGATTTTTTTTTCTAATAATATAGAAATAAACCCCAAGATTTCTTCAAATATGATGGACTTTTTCCCTCATAAGAACACTATTCTGCTATATAAGTCTCTTTAACTATTACCTTAGCCAAGAAACTCTAGTAATAGCTTTTCATAGATTAGATATTTTACTAGATCTCTTTCAAAAATTACTGGTTGGATGTTTTTAAATCACTATTATATTTTGATGATAATACTTCTCTCAAATATGAAGTCAAAGATTAATGTTTCTTTCAAAAGACACTAAAAGAATTATCGTAACATCAATTACTTCTAATGTAACCGTCTAGATCCACTTCTACCTAATGGTTCCATTTCTGACAATAACCAATGTATAAAATTTTACTGCCATAAGTTAGATTTAATATGTCATTACTATGTGTGGTACCACTTAGCAAAGAAAGGGGAAGTACCTGCCTTATATACTGTATTGTTGGGCACCACCCATGCAGAATTTATTATTTTCACCATCTATATAATAAAATGCTAATATGCAAATCAACCAAATGGCAGAATAACCAGTCGCTATGACACAGACTGACCACAGGGGTGCTGCCCCTGGTGGTCAGTGTGCTCCCACAGGGGAAGTGCTCCTCAACCAGAAGCCGGGCTCATGGCTGGCAAGCACAGTGGTGGTGGTGGAAGCCTCTCACACCTACGCAGCAGTGCTAAGGACCCCTCAGGGGATGTCCGACTGCCATCTTAGGCCCGCTCCCTGAGCCTAGCTGGCAGTCGGTCATCCCCCTAGGGGTTCTGGACAGCAAGAACGCACAGGCTGGGTTGAGTTAACCTTCATCCTCCCCGCCTCCCCCCAGTGCACAAATGTTATGCACCTGGCCTCTAATTATAAATAAAAGAAATCCCCTTGTTTCCGAGGACATTGCTATTTCTTCTTACTCAGGTCTTAATGCAGGTGTTATTTCCTCTCAGAAGCCTTCCTGGTAGCACATATACATATTTATGCAAAGAAGGGTTAGATGTCTTTACTGTAATGTCCTGTTTTGACTTTTATTATAGTATTTATTAAACTGAATTGTTGGTATTGCCAGTACAATTCTAACTTCTTGAAAAGTCATAGCTCCAGAATGTCACATACAAAACTAATGGTACATAATAGGTATGTGCATACTCTCACATGCACCATTTATGTTCACATGCATGCATGTTGTCTTCTAACACTCAAACTAGTTACACTTTTACCAAGTAAAGTTCTAACCTTACTTCCTAAGCTGTCAGTATTGGTCATTTTTCTCCCTTTCCAAAGCTTAATTTAATTCCTCTTGAGAAATTTTAAAAACTGAATGACTATTTAGATTAAGACAAGCTTCTCTGGTATTTTATGCTTGCATTAGTTTGTTGATTTGGTTTAATAATTATAATCATATATAGATTTCTTTTACATATTACCAAAGATGGAGAAATCCAAAGCTGTCAAAAAGTAAAGGACAGGGAAGTATCAGAGACTGTCTTCATACAAAGCCAGGTTTTAGGAAGGCATTCCTAGGTGAATTCCAAAAGTGAAACCCAGAACTAAATTTCTGGAAGTGTTTTAATAATTTGAAGATATATGGATGTGCTTCTTATTTGGTAATGTAGTTGGATATAGTGACTGTGCTGTCACTTTTCTCCCCTTGATAACATTAATCTATCAACAATAGTAGGTGTTCCATTTCTCAGAAACAACTTATTTTTATCAGAATTGTGATAAAAATTGAACAGTGTCACCAAAAATCGGAATTTCTGCTTCATTGTATTATTTTCTAGATAAACATTTATAAACCTACTTTTGTGGTAGTGGGAGCCTTTCCCTCAGGCGGACAGTAAGGAGCAAGTTTTCACAACTGCAGTTATCTGGCCTAATGGGGACTTGGATACAAAAAAATTATTGATACATAGCAGAAAAATTTAAACCACCTCTATGAACTGAGCACCATTGTCAGCAAGTGCTATAGAGTCAAGCATAACTTTGTGAGCCTCCGATAGCCATAAAAACAACTTCTGTGTAAAAATAAAACAAGCATGAGATTTGCCAGATAGGAGGCTGCTGGGATTAATATGTGTGATCTAGTAGGAAGCCAGAAAAGGCAGAGTTTTTTAAGTTTTGATAGTAACAGTTATGAGGAATGACTTAAACTGGCCCTAAATTCTGTAGGGCAGATGGACTGATTATGAAAGATCAGAACAATAGAAAAAGACCAAAGATATAGCCCAGAGGATTCTGGGCATCTTCATTGGGGTTATTTTTTTTTTTTTAATATATTTTATTGATTTTTATACAGAGAAGAAGGGAGAGAGATAGTTAGAAACATCGATGAGAGAGAGTCATCGATCAGCTGCCTCTTGCACACCCCCTACTGGGGATATGCCCGCAACCAAGGTACATGCCCTTGACCGGAATCGAACCCGGGACCCTTCAGTCCCCAAGCCGACGCTCTATCCATTGAGCCAAACCAGTCCCGGCTTCATTGGGGTTATTAATGGTGCTATTTCTAAACCTTGAGATGACCCCTCATTTACTATTTGGGAGTTGAGGTCTGACAGCATCCATGAATAGGTGGTGTCCATTCAGCAAATTTGAATGATTATTATGTGCTGGATACTTGCTAAGTCTAGTAAGGCACGGTCTCTGATATCAAGGAGTCCATCCAATATAATAAAACCCTAATATGCAAATCAAATAGTGGAACGACCGGTTGCTATGCTGTGCACTGTCCAGTAGGGAGCAGACGCTCAGTGCAGGAGCTGCCTCTTGGTGGTCAGTGCATTACCACAGGGGGAGCGCTGCTCAGCCAGAAGCTGGGCTCACGGCTGGTGAGTGCAGCAGTGGTGGTGGGAGCCTCTCCCACAGGTGGGCAGTAAGGAGCAAGGGATCCTGGACTGCGAGAGCCCTAGACTGAGAGGGATGTCTGACTGTTGGCTTAGGCTCTATTCACAGGGGGATCGGGCCTCAGCCAGCAGGCGGACATCCCCCAAGTGGTCTCTGACTGCAAGAGGGCTCAAGCTGGGCTGAGGGACCCCCACCTCCAGTGCACGAATCTCGTGCACCAGGCCTGTAGTCTCTAATGAGGTAAAGACTTTCAAACACAATTATACTACAACAATTCTATTTAGTTGTAATACCCACGAAGTAAAGAATGTGCATAAATCACTTTGAGTCTAGGAGCATCTGACACAAGACTTGGCCAAATGAGAATTTACGAGGTGGAAAGCAGGACAAGGTTTTTCTAAAAAGTGAAAACTGCATATGCAAATGCCCTAGGGGTAAAAGGACAAAATATTTTCTGATAACTACAAGATGTGTCCATATTGTTAAAACCAAAAATAAGAGCAAGGGTGCTTGGACTGGGATCTCAAAAACTCCTCCTCCATTGGTCAAGTAGCATACTTTAACTACCTGTTAAGTGGGAAAAAATACTTTGATATAAAGGAACAGATTGATTAAGAAAGGGTATATAGCTAGTTTAATAGTTTTTTTTTTAATATATTTTATTGATATTTTACAGAGAGGAAGAGAGAATGATAGAGAGTTAGAAACATCGATGAGAGAGAATCATCGATCAGCTGCCTCTTGCACACCTCCTACTGGGGATGTGCCCGCAATCAGGGTGCATGCTTTTGACCCGAATCGAACCCGGGACCCTTGAGTCTGCAGGCTCTATCCACTGAGCCAACCGGTTTTGGCTAGTTTAATAGTTTTTATTTACTTGTCTGCTCCTTGTTCTACTGTATGAAGATTATATGACTTATTTAGACCAAACATCAGTAAATTTGCTGGGAAAAGTGAATTCTCCATATAAAATACATGCTGTTTGCTTTGTGCATTTAACAAGTTCCTTAGCCCTTTTTTTTTTTTTTACCTCTAAAAGGGTGGGGGAAGTGTCTAATCAGCCCAACAATTTCATCCTTTGATGGTTTCTAATAGCTTGTGTCTAGGAGCCTTATATAACTGTGTCATTTGGCCTATTTAACTTCTAGTATTTTATCCTCTCTTCTAAAATTAATTAAACTTTCCAGCCCTTTCTGGGCCTTTTTCATGAAACTACATTTTTTTTATACAAACTCCATTTTAAAACAACCATGAATAAATTTATTTCCATTTCATAGTCTGAGATGGAATTCATCTTGCTTTTCACACTAAACTCAAGCAGTGTGTTTCAGACTATAAAGACCTACATCAAGATGTAAATATGACTTAACATTTAGTCCTTGGAAAAGTAGCTTGAACAGAGGGAAAACTCGTGAATATTTATTCTTTTTGGTCCTGGGTCAGCCTCTTATTTATTTTGTAAACGAGGGAGATATGCATTATCCACATATCTATGCTATTTTCCTTTTGCATTCTTCATTGAGCCTATATTCTAAGATAAATAATTCTCTAGCAAGTATTCATAGGATCATAGAATTGAATTTTTATAGGTAAATAAACATTTTAAGACTGTGGAATGACACTATAGGAAGGAAACTAAACAGAAAGGTCAGAAACTCAACTTCAAGTTCTGGTTTGCTCATAACCAGCTATTTGTCTTTGAGTATGTTGTTCAACCAGGATTTCTTGTCTTCAGTATTTATTTCTTTAACAACAGATTGTAACTAGAATTTCAACACATATATGGCCTGACTCAGTGGCTTTTAATGCATGGAAGTGTTGTAGAGGTCCTTTATTAAATTATATGGTTTGGTTTTGATTTGGAAAATTTAGTTCTACCATATCTTTATTCTTAAAGTATGTGATTCTAGAGTAAGTCTGGAACAACATCTTATTTCATATCCATTGTGCCACCTTTTTCTCAAGCTATTTCTCTTCTAGATTTTCAGCCACTTGAACATTAAACTGTTCTAACTAAACTATAATTGTCTTCAGAATTATATTTTTTCTGAAGTTAATATAAAAATTTTAACTCACGATATTTGTTCAGAACAGCTGGATTGAATTAAATAAACATTTTAAGAATGTGAATGGCATAATAGGAAGGAAACTAAATAGAAAGTGAAGAAACCCAAAATCAAGTTTTGATTTGCTTACTGTGTGTAATATATATATATGTGTGTGTGTGTGTGTGTGTGTGTGTGTGTGTGTACACATATAAAGTATACTATGCTAATTAGACCAGATGTCCTTCCAGATGACCTTCTGGACAAAGCCGGGTCTGCGAGGTAAGCCCAGATTCCAGCTGTTGGAGGGAAGCCAGTGCCTGCAGCCAGGGGAAGGAAGGCCTACTCGCATGAATTTCATGCATCAGACCTGTAATTTTATATATATATATAAAATAGACCCTTAACTATAATACTGAGAGAGGGAAGGGTATAGAATTGAACTAGTGATTTCTGTCAGAAAAAAAAAAAAATGGGGAAATTATTTGTGGGGTTAAGTTATAGTTTTCCAGGGAATTTGCCTTTATTTTCTCTGTGTTCCAGGTCTTGCCTGAAATTTAGACGCCCCTTTCTTCCCCTACCTTTCTGGTGCTGTCTGTCAGTGGTGGTGATCACCTCTGAGGAAGAAAAGCCCACTTCCACTGACCATGGAGAACACTCAGCATCTCTGCTTGATTGTGACAAGGGCAGTTTTTGGATGGATCATGAAATGCTTCTAAAGTAGCCAACAGTTAACTCTCCTAACCTTTTTATATAATAAGCATGTTACCACCAAGGTAACTTACCCAATGGAGTCAGCTACATAGTGAAAGCACAGTCTTTACACACTTAACATATGCAAATTCAATTCTACTAAATCAGAAAGTGCACGAGTGAGAGAAAAATAACATTTTAAATAGCACATGCTCAACCTTCCCTTTCTTTTTTTTTCTTTTTTTTCTTTTCTTTTAATATATTTTATTGATTTTTCACAGAGAGGAAGAGAGAGGGATAGAGAGTTAGAAACATCAATGAGAGAGAACCATCGACCAGCTGCCTTTTGCACACCCCCTACTGGGGATGCGCCCGCAACCACGGCACATGCCCCTGACCGGAATCAAACCCGGGACCTTTCAGTCCGCAGACCGACGCTCTACCACTGAGCCAAACTGGTGCCAGCTCAACCTTCCTTTTCGATAAGACCCAGGCTATGGATTAAATCACATCTGAAATAGTCAGTTCATATAGAAAGAATGTGAGGATAGCTTTAAAGGTTTCCCAGTGATTGATAAAGCGTGTTCAGGTAGCCAGGAGAGCTTCTTTCACATTTACAAGGGTTATTAAAGGGTGTTGAGAAGCAACACTTAAGAATTAGAGGAACTGATAAAATTCTCTACAGAGAATGACATAAGTTGAAATTTTTATAAATTTAATAAGTGTTCAAAAGAGTGAAACACCTGATTGATTAAATTTCTGAGTGTTCTTTATGGATTTTCAGTGATTATTTTACCATACACTATTCCCCCATTACTACCTGTCCCCAAAATAAGTTGCTACCAAACGATATCCCAATTTAGTTTGGGATAGTGTAAACTGAGTAAGATAATGGCTATTTCATTAAGAAGCCAGTTCTTGGCTTATTATTACTTTTTTTTTTTTTTAATGTGGGCATGAATTTCTTTTTCATAGAAGTCTGAATGTAAAATCTAGATTCTTTGACCATCCTAGTAATTTGTGCTATCTACACCATTTTACTTTGTTTCTAGGGTCTTTTCCAGCCATATCACTAAGATAATTACTACCTTTGGAATGCATAACTACCAACTAAAAACAACATAATTGGCTAAATTGTGTGTGTTTTTTTAAAGATACTGTTTTAGTTGTACCTCCTTTGTGAAATATATTTTCTTTTGTGTTCATACAGGTAAATATGATTAAAGATGATGGAACAGTTATTCATTTCAACAACCCCAAAGTCCAAGCTTCCCTTTCTGCTAACACCTTTGCAATTACCGGGCATGCAGAAGCCAAACCAATCACAGAAATGCTTCCTGGGATTTTAAGTCAGCTTGGTGCTGACAGCTTAACAAGCCTTAGGAAGTTAGCTGAACAGTTCCCTCGGCAAGGTAGGTATTTCATTTTAGTTCCTCTGTTCCTCCCCACCTTAAAGAACCTAATGATTTTTAAAGGTGTCACATTGCTGGAAGGATTTGCCTGTATGTATATTTTACTTTTATAGTGTTACTTGTATACTTCATAAATTTTTTAATTGGCTTCTTTAATAATTATGCAGTGTGCCATAGGGAATATTTGAATACATTTTGGTAGAAAGTAACTTCCTAAAAGGAAAGTGCCAGGATCTTCAGGCCACATTTTATAAACAGTCAATTGCTACTTCTAATTAATGGCAGCAAGAACATAGTGTGTACCAGGCGTTGTGTTAGATTTGCTGTCTATACAATAATGGGATAATATGCTAATTAGGGCGGGCGTCTTCCAGACGTCCATCTGGACAAAGCCATAGCAGCTGCGAGGCCCAGGGCTCATGCAGCCGTGGGCTCAGGCAGCCTTGAGCCCCAGAGGCTTCAAGGCCCAGAGCTCACAGCAGCCATGGGCTCACAGCAGTCGTGAACTCGATCCCCCACAAGCCCCCTCAAGGAGCCAGAAGCTCAGGCAGCTTTAAGGCCTGAGGTTAGGCAGCTGCCACAGCCTGCAGTGGCGGCAGCGGCAGCAGCTTGATGGGGGCAGCGTCTTCCCCTAATCAGCCAGGTCGCCCCCCGTAGAGCCATCAGTAAGACATCCCCTGAGGGCTTCCAGACTGTGAAAGGGGGCATGCCAGCTGAGTGCACGAATTTTCATGCACCAGGCCTCTAGTCCTATATAATAAAAGCCTAATATGCTAAGTGTCTAGTCATCTGGTGACTGGTTGACTTTTCAACCAATCAAAGCATAATGTGCTAATGATATGCTAAGGCTGTTCAACCCCTCACTGTGATGTGCACTGACCACCAGGGGGCAGACAGTCAACTGGTCGACCAGTTACTATGACGTGCACTTGACCACCACGGGGCAGACATTTTGACTAGTAGGTTAGCTTGCTGCTGGGGTCCAGCTGATTGGGACTGAGCGAGTTGGGCTGGACACACCCTAGAACCCTCCCGCAGTCCCTCCCTTGCCCCAATCATGCACTGTGGGATCCCTCAGCCTGGCCTGTACCCTCTCACAATATGGAACCCCTTGAGTGATGACATAGAGTTAGTTTCAGCCCAATCCCGTGGGTGCCAGACACAGGGCTTACAACTGGCAAGCACTGCTGTGGTGGCATGAGCCTTTCCCAATCGGGACTGATTGGGTGTGAGCCCATGGCAGGCACAATGGGGCCAGGATGAGCAGGAGCAGCAGTAGGAGCTGCGGGCGGCATTAGACTGATTTTTGGCTCGATCCCCCACAAGCCATCCCAAGGGACCCCACCTGTTCACAAATTTGTGCACTGGGCCTCTCGCACACACATAAAGACCACAGGGATGCTCACATTCTAATTGGAGAGAGTAAGAAGATACCCAATTATGATTTCACTTCATGTGCAGAGATAGAGGTTTCTCCTGGGTCTGTTATAAACAGGATGTCCATGACAACTGTAGCCCATGGCTCTGAGTTTTCCCCTTATTGAAATAGCTCTCTCACGTTAAGACATTTTTAGTCCAAAATCCTGTACCTGTGACTGTAGACAGGCACAGCTCTCTTGGGCTTGATACCCAAAACCCAGGCATGTGCCCTGATCAGGAATGGAACCCATGACCTCCAGGTTCATTGGTTGACACTCAACCAATGAGACATGCCATTCGAGTCCCTGTGCGTTTTGTCACTCCTAAAAATCAAACAGCCTATTGTTTCAGTGTTCATACTACATACATAGATACTTTATTACACCAAAGGAGATGAAAAAAAATATTGAATGTTGATTTTTTAATTTGGAGAATAAGTTAATAATATGGCTTTTTATTCAAACTAGTGCACATTACTCCATTTTTTTAAATATGTTTTACACCAAAGCCGATTTGGCTCAGTGGTAGAGCGTCGGTCTGCAGACTGAAAGGTCCCAGGTTCGATTCCGGTCAAGGGCATGTACATTGGTTGCGGGCACATCCCCAGTAGGGGGTGCGCAAGAGGCAGCTGGTCGATGTTTCTCTCTCATCGATGTTTCTAGCTCTCTATCTCTCTCCCTTCCTCTCTGTAAAAAATGAATAAAATATATTTTAAATATATATATATATATATATATATATATATATATATATATATATATATATATATGTTTTATGATCCATGCAGTGCCCATTGAAATAGCCAGCTGTATTTAGGGTATATCTAATCAAGTTACAGTTTTATTGATTTTAGTATCAAGTAAGAAATATGGCATTACGTTACATAATATTTAGCTTTTTCTGAACAACTATATAAGATTTAGACATGAAGAAAATATGAAGTATCTCTGGATGTCTTTGTTCTCAGTGACTAATTTTAAAATAAAATTTTTGCAGTGTTGGATAGCAAAGCACCAAAACCAGAAGACATTGATGAGGAAGATGATGATGTTCCAGGTAAGTGACATTTTTTTAGTTCTAAGATTTTTAACATACTACTGATCTCATTTAATTCATTGCATAAGGACTTGCAATTTTTTGTTGCTGATGAGCTTGTGAATTTATAGTCATTCACAATGATATGGATATGATCTAATGAAAAAGAATAAAAGCCCTCTCATTTAGAACTTAGAATCAGAAATTGTCACACAAAGCTTTTCTGCCTGCATATGAATTTGGAATCACTGTGATTATAAATTTGGGTGGTTATTATTATAATATTTCTGTGGGAATTATGATTGACATCTGGAAATGCTGTTCACCTTAGTATGTATACACAAAAGACTAAAATTGCTTTTGGAGTTACTGTTTGAGCAGATAAATGAGGCATTATTAGTGAAATGCCACCAATTCATTTCTGTTCCTTATCCTATATATTTTCAGGCTGATTCTAGTAGCAACAACTTAGTTTTATTGGGGTTAGAAGTTAGGGATTTTATTTACCTCCCTTTTTTTTTTTTTTTTTTTTTTTTTTGTATCTTTAACTCATTTACTTTTTTTTTTCTTCCAGATCTTGTAGAAAATTTTGATGAGGCATCAAAGAATGAAGCTAACTAAAATCTTTTCTGGTTTTTGGAAGTTGGCATGGACTAGATTTAACAAATCAGCTATGTGGTTCCAAAGTTTTACAGACACGGAAAACATCAACTGTTACTAGTTCAGTAATATAAATATTTTGTATATTAATAATGCTGTTTGTTCAGCATTTTTGGTCATTTGATTTTGCATTTTGCACTTCCTCCCAGGATCTATTCTTTTGGTCAAAATCCAAAGTATTGATGCAGTTTGAGGGTGTTTTGATTTTTAATTCTTTTTTTGTTTGTTTGTTTGTTTGGGGTATTTTTGGTGTGTGTGTATTTTTTTGTATGCGTGTGGGTATGTGTGTACACAATGGAGAGCAAATTGGAAAACAGTTCTATTTATCCTCCTCTTTTCCCAGTAGAAATAAAACAAATCTTTACATTTGTTACTTTTTATTTTTTCTAATAATGCACAGAATTAAGGAAAAGTGAGTATCTTGGATATCAAATCTGAGATTTTTATCCTTGGAGGTTTGGTTTTCATTTGCTTGGTTAACATATTTTTCATACATTTCTCTGGGTTTAAAATGTCTTGAGATGTTTTTACCAGCTTTTGCTAGTGTAATGGTAGCATGTCTTTGGTTCAGTTGCCTTAGGTTCACTTACCTAGTCAGACCCAGAAGAAGTTGCTTCCTAAATGCCTTTTTTTCTTTTCCTTTTGGTCTCCAAATGGCATTGTCAGCCATTGGTAATGCTATTCCTCATTCCCCTCCTAGCCTCAGAAGGATGTTCTCCATATAGAGTTAAGTGAGTGCCTAATCCCTCTTTTGAAAGACTTTGTTCCCTTATCTTGAGGAATAACAGCTCCATCTTCAACTTTTTATTTCCCCCTGATTTTACAATTTGGTAGATTTCAAACTGGAATAGCTAGCATGTGCTTGCTAAATAATTTTATGCCAGTCTTATCCTGTAACCTCGCTGTTTATAATAGCAGGTATAAAAATGCCTCTTTTTTATTTTTTTTAACAAGGTTGAAATTGGGAATGTCCTTTTGAATCAGATAAAAAATAGGCCATAGACTCATCCCCCAGAACAAAAGGGCATTCTATGAAGTGTTACTGGCCCAGGGAGGATTTCTTCAACCATTCTCCTACTCTGGCCTTGAACCTACCTCTAGATTGGATCTTATAGCTGCTCACAGCATCCTCCCGCATGCTTATAAGAGTAATGCTTTGGGAAGAACACTGGTAAAACACAGTATTTATTTTTCACCTCCCTTCAGAGGACTTGGAGGTAAGTTGCATTCATTCAAGTTTCCCTCTTGCTGTCTAAGGATAAAAGCTTGTATTTTGTTATATCAGCATTTGGTATGGCCAATATTTAAGGATAAGATCTAGAAAATATATCATTTCCTGGCCCATCATCAAACTAAGTATGGCTTAATCTCGCAGTATATCAACTTTGTTTCAAGCTAGATATCTTTATTAGATATCTAAAGTGAAAGATCAATCACATATCAAGATATCTATAAACATGAAGGCAAAGCTCTTGTGTTTTATCATCCTGACACCTCAATTTATTTTATAAATTTGTTTCATTTTCCTGTTATGTTTTATATAATATATGGTCTTAACTACAAAATAAAATAATAGTAATAAAATAACAAGATATTTCCTCTTGTGCTTCTCTTGTTGTTTGCAGAATTTCCTTCTTTTGTATTTAATATTTCCCTTCTGCTCCTGACAGCTAAATGAATTTTCAGCCCAGTCATTATTTGAAATAATATTTCATCCATTGTTATTCTAAATGGTCTACATACTCCACACTTCTGTTCCTCTCACTGTCATTAAGGGATGCTTTATGGGGCAGACAGGGTTAGGGTGGGCATCAAGTGGTTAGGAACATGTAAGAGATGAGTAGTATAGTGAAGGAAAAGGGGAACATTCATCTGGAACGCAGGAGACTTGGGCCTTTAGCTAGACTCTGGCAATAACTAGTGGCTCTGGTCAGGTTACCTAATTACTCTGAAATTCATCAGTCAAATAAGATGTTTCTAAATCTTAGTGTTTCTTCTACAGTTCTGTGAATCTTATTTTTAATATATTTTTTTTGTTTTTTACAGAGAAGAGGGGTGAGAGAGAGTGAGTTAGAAACATCGATGAGGGGTAAACATCGATCAGCTGCCTTCTACACACCTCCCACTGGGCATGTGCCTACAACCAAAGTATATGCACTTGACCAGAATCGAACCTGGGACCTTTCTGTCCTCAGGCCAACGATCTATTCCCTGAGCCAAAGCAGTTAGGGCTGAATCTTATTTCTGAACATTCTCAAAGTGATTTTTATCATCTCTCAGAGAAATCTTTTTTTTAACAATATCCATAAAGCCTTTCTGTGATACATTCTTTCTCTTTTTCCCTTTTAATCACATAAGGAGCTCTGGTCAGTGTTTTATTTTATCCTGTTAACAACCTCTAATGGCTGGTTTTTCATATGTGCAATAAGCCAGTATTGTTTTTTGTTTTGTTTTTATGTTTTTACTAGTGGCCCAGTGCACGAAATTTGTGCACATTAAAAGGGAATTAATAAGGCCGAAACCGGTTTGGCTCAGTGGATGGAGCATCAGCCTGCAGACTGAAAAGTCCCAGGTTCGATTCCGGTCAAGGGCATGTACCTTGGTTGCGGGCACATCCCCAATGGGAGGTATGCAGGAGGCAGCTGGTCGGTGATTCTCTCTCATCAATGTTTCTGATTCTCTGTCCCTCTCTCTTCCTCTCTGTAAAAAAATAAATAAAATATTAAAGGGGGAATTAATTAGAATAAATATTTTAATATTTCTATTTGCCCTTCCTCTATAGAAGTGTCAGAGATGAAAGATTAGTAAAATGCATATAAAATCTCCCTCCTGTCAGAGTCTGGGGTGTGCTGTGGGACCAGAGTTAAGTCCCCACTCACCACCCTCACACACTTTGAAAATTCAGGAGACCCAGACCTGGCCAGCCCCACCCCCGTCAAGCCCCACCGGGCCAGGGGGTGGGGAGGTGTGGCCTGAGGTACCTTGTCAAGCCCAGCTGGGTAGGGAACGCAGCCTGAGGTCCCCGGCCCAAGGTGGGGTGAACAGCCTGAGGTCTCTGTCAAAGCCCACCAGGCGAGGGGCATGGCCTCAGGTCCTCCTGCCTGGCCCCGGGGCAGGGAGGCACGGTCTGAAGTCTCCCATCAAACCCAGTCTCCCTGCAGGATCATGTCAGCGCTAAACAGGGGTACAGGCAGGCAGTGTCCCCTCCCTAGCCAGGGATGCCAGCAGGCAGCTTCACCTCAGTACTGGGTGAGGACGCACGCTGGCAGCGTGACTTTAGCTCTGGGGGCAGAAGTCCCCGCCCACAGACTGGCCATGACTGGGACACCTAACGGACAAATAAGTATGTTATCTTTTTATGTGTATAGATTGGTTTCAGAGAGGAAGGGAGAGGAACAGAGAAATAGAAACATCAATGATGAGAATCATTGATCAGCTGCCTCCTGCACATCCCCTACTGGGGATCGAGCTTGCAACCCGGGCATGTCCCTGACCAGGAATCAAACCCTGATAGATGGATGCTCATCAACTGAGCCATGTTGGCAGGCAAACAAGTCATTGTTTTTAAAAGTATTTTCATACCTTCAATTTCCTGGACAAAGCATATTGAGATCCTGACCCAACCCAAAGAAATATTCCTTCCTTCAGAGTGAGTAGGCATAGGTGAGAGTATGGATGAAACATTGTGAGTTGTAGTGTGCTTGGCATAAATAAGAACTACACAGTTTTTAAAAAATAATGTCATCATTTCACTACTAGTGACCCTCAAAACTTTTTTTTTTTTTAATCCTCACTCAAAGATATTTTCCATTGATTTTTAGAGAGAGTGGAAGGGAAAGAGAAAGAAATATTGATATGAGAGAAACACATTGCTTGGTACCTCCTGCACGAGCCCGGACCAGGGCCCAGTCTGGGGAGGTATGTGCCCTTGCCCAGAATTGAACTTGGGACCTTTTGTTCCATAGCCCGTTTCATAGCCCGACACTCCATCCACTGAGTCAAATGGGCCAGGGTCAAACTCTATTTTTTTAAAGAACAGTTTTATTGATTTTCAGAAAGAGGGAGAGACAAATGATATGAGAGGGCAACATCAGCTATCTCCCACATGCCCCTCTACCTGGGCCTGTGCCCTAACCGGGAATCAATCAGCAACCATTCAGTGCCTGGGACAACACCCAACCCACTGAGCCACACCAGCCAAGGCCTAAAGGCTATTTCAGATTCAAAACCAATGAAGAGCTGTCACACCCAGAAACACAAACATGCCCCCAGTTCCCTCGGACCCAGGCACCCTGACGCCCAGTCCCACTTGCCCCTGTCCCTGGGTCTCTGCAGAGTTCTTTTCTGGCTCATCAGTGGTCAGTGCCACGCATGAACACAGATGTGCACACAGTGTTCTGCATCCAGACACACATGCCTCATTCACTTTTGGCATCATTGGGAGGTGGGCTGGAAGCAGCACCTCCCAATACTTGAAGCCAAAGGACCCCTTTTCCCTGAGGCTGAGCCGTCTCTGAGGCTGAGCACCCCTTACACACACACTCACACACACACACCAGGCCCTGGCCCATGAGGCCACGGGCAAGGCCAGGCCCTGAGCCTCCGCGGACCTAGGGCCTCCCCATCAGGTCTAATGTGGGCAGGCCCAGGATCCCAGCCCCGCTTTTCCTTCCCATCCACTTGTCACAGCTCCCATCCCAAGCACAGTCCTGGCTTCTGCCTGGACTTTTTCCAACCCCCTAGTTTTCATTATTTGTAACGAAAAATTCCAACAGAAGCCCAAGGCGAGAGCCCCCGGGAGCCCTGCAGCCCAACCCCTCACAGTGGGCCCCGTCAGAACTGAGAATCGCAAACCCCGACTTTAGATTCAGTTGCCCTTTCTCCAGTGTCCTGCTTCGGTGTCTGGCCATGGCCCCATCTGACTGCCCAGCTCTCTCCCCACCCTCCCTGGTGTTTGTTAT